CAAATACTTTATAATGGGCTACACTGAATAAATAAAGCCCGAAAGCTAGCTTTCACATGAGAAAAACTGCACAATAGACATTTGGTAGCTAAACATAACTGCAACCATTTTCTTATTCTTCACCAAGCCTTGCACTTTACAACTTAAACATCCATCCGAGTCGAATTAAAACACTTGGAACGGATGTAAGTCGTGAGCTGAATCTGGTTCCAGTGGGCAGGTTCTGAGCCAATCCAAATAATTGGAATAGAAGACAACTCTGTCGCCTGCATCCCCTTGTTGTGTCCGTTTCCGTGTGGGATAGACGGGTCATGATCTCCCTCACCCAGCCAAGAAAAGGTCCAAATCCGATTCAGTTTTCACTTCGCGAGAAATCCAAACTTGCGTGTTTGCAGTAACGTGAGTCGTGATATTAAAAGGCATTGACAAGAAAAAATTATGGCCGTTGCGTACGTGCTAAAACTCAGTAATATGCTCGCACACAACACGAATCAGTGGCTGCAAATTTCACAAGTACTAGGTTTCTCTTCCACCGGTATGTGAAGCTACGGAGGATTACAATAAATGCAAGCCGACCGTACTCCTGCATTACACGCTGGCAAGGTGGTGACGGTCCTTATCCGTACACACTGGTAAAATGTGTCAGATGTCGTCTCGGGTCTCGCACTGGTGTTGTGCTGCGTTGCCGACAGTGCCGGCGATCTGCTATGGTTTACCTGCGGTCACGGTTGCGTGAATGACACATTTTACAATACATGATTAGGCTGTGCGCGTCAAGCCAAATAAGGTACTCCAAGAAGTTACTGATGCCGTCGTGTTTCCGCCTGCCACTGATTACTCGTACGTATAAATGTCAGCAGTGTTGTCTTTGTAAAGTTGCGTGACGCTACGGCCGCAAACAGCCATATCCGGCATCGACGATAGACGCGACTACAGGAACACCCAAGCAATGTTTACAAGAGCAACTTTCGGTATGGTGTGTTTCAAGTGTGTCAGACCAATTACGATGCCCGTGTATTCTTATGATCCGTTCAACACGCGGCTTAAAACTATAGTGGTCGTCGAAAACAAAACACCCCATTCTGTCACACTCTGTGTTCAGGTATTGCAATGCCCAAGAAAATAAACGTAAACCAAACTCCGCATTAGAGACGACATCAGAAGCCTTGAAATGGGAGAATCGTACGTAACAAAACCAGAAACCAGATTACTGAAACAGCAACTTCATCGGCTATTTCCCTAGGCCTGGTGAGAAATGATGGGTTTTGTTACCGGTTTTCCTACTTTTGGAGCATATACAAATTTCCTTTAAAACTAGGTATCTGACGACATCTGTGTAAAAGGAGACACGGTGATGAACGAATCATATCAAGGGCTGATAGATCAAAAAGGAGTTTACCACAGCGATTGCATTGGGCTGGCACAAAAAGTGTCACAGAATGAATCAACTCCAGATATATTGTTTGTGCGTGAAAACCTAATATAAGAGGTAAACTGCCCCTGGGTTTAGCTATTACGCCATATCATTCTGTTTTACTGCATGTGGTGCATGGCTACCGCGTGACGCAACATCAGTTTTTTAGTCAGTGCCGACCTGTTGGTGTTGCCTGGCCGGCCGTCTTTCTTGACTCAGGGACCATTGGATACATCCGAATGCTTCCAGAGCCTCTAGTATACTCCCATCTGGAAAAAATCCCTTCCCCAGTTTGGAACGCATGGCCTACAGCGTACAGTTGTGTCACATATTTATCTGTCCTAATTGCCAAATTTCCAGTCAATATTCACTTCCCTTATCTTCCCCTATGGTGAAGGGGATTCCTCCCTTAGGATATGTGCTGGTTCCGGTTATGCGCTTGCGTCACTGTGCAAATGTAACAAGTGCACCGTTCACTTGCGCATGGAAAACGAAGACATTGCATTCAAACACACCTAACTTAAAATGGCACGTAAACTCGCATGGTATCAGGGTTGTGCGCCTACATTTTTTTTTGGCTTGTTTAAGTCCAGCTGATGTTCCTTTAAACAATAACAATACATTTGCAGTTTATATGAACGCTTGGCAACATTAAGAGCTAATGCAACGCGAAGCCAATGCAACGAATTTATGATTGAAAATAACCCTACGCTTTTTGAGTGTCAACGGCTGGAATCCCGCACGATCCGCTGCACTTTGTTCGCCATTCCCCCGCCATTGGCAAACCGCCTCGGAATGTCACAATTGTCTGCCGACCGCTTGCCTCCGTCCTTCCCCTTGATGACAC